TTTTTTTTCTGTCAATTTTTCTTTGTTTCTATGAAAACATATTTCCACAGCTTTCTTTGACGTGTGAAAAACTCATTTTTTCAAATGGGATATCAATAGTTATTGATGGCAAACTATTTTTGTAAAAAGACACTCTGTATAAAATATTTTTGTAATGAGACACCCTGTATATTCCTGAATAATCCAATAGAGCTTAAAATAACCTTCCAAACCTTCCATGTAGACTTTGTTACGCACACTTTGATCAAGTAGTCGGACGATGCGGCGATAAAACAGAATGCAAATCTTCACCGGTAGCTGTCAAATGTTGATTCAAGCAGTGAAGACGTTTTTCAATCAGTTGTTTATGTTCAATTTTCAAACACATTCGCAATGAAGTATGAGAATTATGATAAATGGGATATGTGCTGATAAAATATGTTTTTTCTATCAACCAGCTATCGCACCCACACGTACAACTCTGAAGTCGAAACTTATGCGAGCTAAGGACTAACGAGGTCTTACCTTTCAACGTGTGATTCCTAGTATGTTTTATACAAACCGGGAAAAATTCAGAAGCAGCAAGCAATTTGCAACACAACCTAATTGTTGGTGGTCAATTCGAAAAGAAGAAACCAACAGATATAAGGAGCTGGGAGAAATAGTCGTTTAAGGAGCTGTTAAAATAATCCCAAAACGTCATCGCAAAATTTGAAAATAACTGAATAGAACTAAGGTTAGGAGGATTTCGAAAAAACACAAATACGAGCCATACAGGACGAGACGAGCTCATCAACCCAGACCAGAAAATTTTGAACGACGTATGGCTTTCTGCCAGTGGTTCCTGGAAGGTTGTAACCATGTGCGTGATTTTTTGTTGAATTGTATTTGGACAGACCAAGGTTATGTGAGCTGTGCCGGCATTTTCAACCACTACAAATCTTATACTTGGGCACAACAAAATTATTTTTTTATTGTAGAGCAGAAAATTCAGGGAAGATTTGGATTTAGTGTGTGGGCAGGTGTGTTCAAAGGTAGAATTATAGGTCCGTTCATTTATAATGGTACTCTCACATCTCAGAAGTACTCAGACATTTTAGGGCATAATATTGAACCCCTTCTTAATGAATAGCCACTAATGGAGCTCTAAAAAATATATTTACATAGAAAAAAAAATTTAACAGGAAAAAAGTTACATCAACATTTCGAAAACACACATGCTGTAACTGAGAAACGATGATAGATATCGATATGCGGTTTTTACCTTTGAATTTGTTCTAAAATTTAACCCTCAAAAACAGCTATCAGTTTTCATCTATCTAGTTTGAAAAAAGGAGTTTTTTTTTTAAATGTTTAATTTGACCCCCTCTGTACATTGATTAAACTGTAATATCCTACTACAACAGCAGCGGCATCGCTTTATTCATGAATCACATTACCGGATATACATAATTTTTAATAGAAAAACACTGTAACTGATATCATATTCATCACATTTCTAAGGTCTTTCTGCCCCATGCCTATTTCTCATTTCCTGGTAACTTCCTGTCAAAGTCACATGACACGTCGCTTTTCGGTTTAGAAATCGAGCGTTTCACGAAAAATTTTATTATCGTGATATCTAACTAAACTCCTTTTCTCCTTTGTGATATTTCGTGATTTTTCTAACAATCCCCATTCAAGCCTCACACGATTAATGGACGGCCCCTTTCACAGACTATGCATTTGGAAAATCTTACTACTTGTATAGAAAATGCATTAGCAGAGTTTTACACCATACGGGTAGAAGGCCAAGACTCTATACTTTCAAAAAATATTAAAATTTTACAATAACGAAAATGTATTGAAAACAATGATGTGAAGAGATAGTGCCAAAAATGTACTAGCACTCAGGGCGGAAAAGATTGAACTTTTCACAATTTCAGGATTATATGAGCCTGCAGCAGTCGCCTTTTCCAATCTGTCTGGACAATTTTATTATTTTATTGAAGTGGTGAAAAAAACTGCAGGCCCTCAAGCCATGGAATTTCCAACCTAAGTTCCAATAAAATCTTAATTCTGAATTACTTCTAGCGATGCAACATCCAAAACAAGCACTGCTTCCGAACATCAGAACTGCAAGAGTAATGCAGTTCAGGTGTTTGGGAGCAGCGTTTGTTTGGAATCTAGTATTCATGCTTATTCAGACTTCAGTTCCGACCAATACCGTCAACAACTGAAAATCATCAATTTTGTGACTCATTTCATAAGATGATGAGTAACTATGGAGAAATAAATCATATCATAGGTACCTGTCATAAGCCAGAAATTTCTTGAAATCCTTATGCGGCGCTTTCGGTTCCACGGTAATACAATTCTGCGCTGAATCTTCATGAGTGCCAAACCCGTTCCAAGGAGGCAACTCTCTATGTTTCGGAGGAGGAATATCTTCAGCTTTTTTAATAATATCAGGAATCTCCAACGGTGTGAATTCACTGATACCGTACTTTTCAGCATAATAACCTCTTGTGAAGGAATCGCAATCGGTCAAAACTATTTTTCTACCATAGCAGTTCAAAATAGCACCGATACTCAAATCTTTCTCTGTATAATAGCAAACCTTGTGTCTTCCACAATCCAAGGGGTCGATTAGGTACCTTCTACTAGATAAAGCCGACCCTAGTACATTCAATACTGTGTTATGGGAGTCGTCGCCTGGTGAAGGAAGCTCTTTGTAAACTTGAGGAAGTTTTCCCCGTCTAAGAAAAATGAAACCGGGTTCGTCACTTGACTGTACTTGAAGTTCTTTGATTTCGATAGTGTCGTCTGCTAGATAGTAACGGATCCCTAGATGATGTACGTAACCATATTCAGTGTCTTTATCATCCCAGTATCCTTTGAAGTGGAGGACCTAGTAACAAAGTGATTCATCAGCAACTCTAAATAACAAATTCTCTGCTAGGAAAATTCAAATCAGATAACCGGCGATTTCAAATCGTTCTGGTTATTTTTTTGCGTAAAGCAAGTTTTTTGTTCCTGGAGGAAACGCTAACATATAAGAGTTCCATCTAGTATCCTCAAACTGGTTAGTAAAATCTAATTTTACTAACTATATATAACTATTAATTTATTTTAGAATTTTATTCACTCCGATAATTTACCACGTATTTTTCACGAAGAAAAATATTTTATTTATCAGTCGTTTTTTTCTGGTTCTCTATCCTTATACAAAAATGTGGGAAACTTCCAAAGGAAGAAATAAAGCAATCAATTTCGAAATAAACTCTTCACGAAGGTTTGTAGATCATGCAAGGAATCAACTGGAAGAAAAAGTCTTGTCAAAACAACTACTTTCGTATAAACATTGAATTACACGAGGTACTTTCGAAACAACTATTTTTAAAGTAACATTGAATAATACAAAAACACTTTTTCTCATTCAGTTTATACTCCAAACATTCGTCATTGAATTGAATCAGATATTATTCTCCGAAATGCTACAAAATATAACAGGTTAGGTTAGGTTAGGTCAAAAGTGAGTGGGTCTATTCGGCTCTCCACCGCAACCTGCATATAATGAAATGAAAGAGACAAAATTTCTTTTACATGGGACACTGTTATCCCCAATGGCGGACATCGATGTTTCGAAATGAGACACTTGCCTTATTATCTCTTCAGCACCAAAATAGATAATACTGAATGGAAAGGAGTATATTTTTCGTCTGAAAGAAGTAGAAAGCCAAAACCTTTCTTTCCAAAAAATTATTGTCTCCTAAAAATTTACCCCTTTCCATTGATGTCAATGCTGTTGATTGACTTCTGAAACATTTCATGTAGTACAAGGTGCTCCCTAGTTCGTTGCAATTTCGATACTATCCATATTTTTTTCAAGGCGGGTCCATTCCTGAGGAGCTGTTGAAAATGTACTCCTCTCCAGATATTGAGAATATACGCTGATTTTTTGAATTTACGTCTTAATCCACATTAATTGGAGAATGATTGACAAAACCCCACGGTTTTGTCAATCATTTTCGTCTGCTTCCAAAATGTGTTCTAACAATTTTGATCCTGTTAATTGTCTATTTCTGATTCGAAATCGATGTTCATTCTCACACACTATGAATTGTCTCGAAGTTTCACCAATTTGTGATGTTGAATTTGTGATGCTGTTTGAAAAATAAATTGATTTTCAATATTCAGTTGATTTTATATTATATCCATTGTTTGTTTGAAGGTGGTTGACGATGTTTCATGATGTATTTCATCAGTTCGGACTTCCATTGTCTAATATAATATAAATTGATTTGAAATCCCTGAAAAAAATAAAAAGAATAACTGAAAATAACAATTTTATTAACAAAAAACTGAAATTACACGTAAATAACACACAAGCTACAACCAGAAAAATAAAAAATTGAAATTTCAATAAAAGCTGAAAATTAAAAAATATTATCAACAAAAATGAAAAATAAAAATAAAAATCATTTTTGTTGATAATACTTTTTGATTTTAAGCTTTTAACAATATTTCAATTTTTTATTTTTCTGGTTGTACCTTATATGTTATTTCCGTGTAATTTCAGTTTTTTGTTAATAAAATTGTTATTTTCGGTTAATCTTTTTATTTTTTTCAAGGATTTCAAATCAATTTATATTATATTAGACAATGGAAGTCCAAACTGATGAAATTATATCCATTGTTGAATCTAACAACGAATCTGGATTGGTGTTCTATTTCTGGGCAAATTTTATCCACCATAATTATCCAATTCATTTTTCTGCTGTAGTTATCGCAAATCGATTTTGCACTGATATAGAGACAAATTATAATGTCGTTTTCAACACTCATATAGTGGTTTGATGTGTAGTGGAGGTATGTAATAGTATGTGTCTTTTTCGGTAAACATTTTTATCAAATTTATCTGACGATCTCTTCAACATTATCTAAGTTAACCATTTTGTTCTGTTGATAGAAGATAATAGCAATTTAGTTCATTTGTATTTTTATGTTTTATTTCTTATTGATTGCTTAATAAATCATTCAAAAATAAAATTGTTTGATAAAACAATAGTTCCTTCGAATAGAAAATGTAGCCATCACGTTAAAAAAGACTACTATATTCAATTCCTATCTCAATTGAAAATCACATATCGGAAGTGTATCATATATCGATGAAAACTGATTTATTCCTCCACAAAAAATAACTTCCATTCAATAATTACTGAATGCCCGCCCGCCATGTTTTTTCCTCAAGCCGATTTTTCCTTCATTATTATTATTATACCATTATTTTTATAATTCAACAGTGTCGCTATCACGCTTAATTTACGTGCCAACTTAGACAGCTTTTACTGCCCTTCTGACATGTTGGATCGCACGTTGAAACGTTAGACCCTCCATCGACGTCGACGTCATTTTATTCTACCCACGCTTAATTTCAAAAACCCGGCAACGCTTCATAAGTCACATCGTCCCCATAAACTATGCTTTATATCACAACCGACAACACCGAACTGTTTTCGCTACCAAACGTTTGTTATCTTTCAAACGGATCAGCTCGATACCATCTCCATCTCTCTCACACTCATATAACAAATCGGGCCCTCCCACTTTTACACACACTCTTATGAAAAGTGGAGGAGTGGGGGTGTTCTGTAGAGACTCTTACTTTCATCCGAACGGACAACGCGCAACCCCTGGCCCCGACATCTCCCGAGGAAATGAAAGACATCCTAAGACGTCTTCCCACTCTGAAAGCACCAGGCCCGGACCACATAACAAACCGGGCACTGAAAGTACTACCGCGCAAGGGTATAGCAGCCATAACTCACATCATAAATGTTATACTCAGATTGCAGCACTTTCCGTACCCGTTCAAAGAGCCAACGGTTATTCACATCCCGAAGCCCAAGAAGAACCACCTGTTCCCAGACAATCATAGGCCAATAAGCTTACTGCCTTCCATAAGCAAAGTGGCGGAGCGTATCATCTCGAAAATCAAACCAGAGAGCTAGGAATCCTCCCGGACGAACAATTCGATTTTAGATCAGAACACTCAACAGAGCTACAAGTCCTCAGGGTAGTAGACTTCGCGACTGAAGGCTTCAACCTCAGCAAAGGATACAACACCGGAGCTATCTTCTTAGACGTCTCCAAGGCGTTCGATAGAGTTTGGCATGACGGACTACTGGTCAAGATGGGCGATTTTGGATATTCAAAACCAATCGTAAGATCAACTCAGTCTTTTCTAGCTGACAGGCGATGCCGTTGCAGAGTAGGAGACGAACTATCAACTGCTCCGCAAGGAGCAGTCCTTTCGCCACACCTCTTCTCCGTATACACAGCGGACGTGCCCAAGGCAGAGAACAACTTCAACAAGTTGGCACTCTACGCGGACGACACGGTCCTGCTGGCGAGATCCACGAGCCAAGTGCATGTCACAAGATACTTGCAGCAACAGGCAGATTAGAGGAGTGGGCCAACCTGTGAAAGATCAGTATAAACCCTGACAAGAGTCAGGCGATACTGTTCACTCGCAGGCGTGTACAACCAGAAGGCAACGTCATCTTTAACGGACAAGAGATTCCGTGGACCAACAAAGCGACATAGCTGGGGTCATCCTAGACAGGAAACTAACATTTCAGTCTCACGTACGGCAGAGAATCGAAATGTCTAGACACGCCAGACAACGCCTAGCACCAATTATAGGACGAAGAAGCAAGATGGGATTGAAAGTGAAGTTGCTGATGATTAATACCGTTCTCATGCCCATAATAGTGTATGCCTGCACTGCCTGGAGCCAGTGCGCACAAACACACAGTCGTTTATGAAGGCGAGCGTAAGGGCCGCCGTAAACGAACCTCACTATATCCCAAACAGATATACAGCGTGACTCACGGTCGATGGTAGGTTAGACGTTTCTGGAAAACTCAAAGCATAATTTTTCTGAAAATTTCACCTCTCACATTTCCTTAACTGTTCTATCGATCTAAAATATTTTCAGCATTGCGGCGTTGCCACTTCTATCAAAAAGTCCTAGCAATTATATTTTTTGAATGGAACACCCCGTATATTAATACATTTTTAGAATCGCTCTAGTATTTTAATA